CAGTCTTAGTTCTTATATGGTGTTTGTGATAGGTTAGGTTAGGTTAGGTCTATGGAAGAAAAGAAATTAAAATTAACGCTAATAATCAGGGACTTCTATGCCAAAATAGGAGAACAACTATATAAAGAAGAAGACAAAGTAGGACACCATGGATACAGCAAAAGAAATTATAGGGGATACACATTGATGAATTACTTGGAGGAGAAGCAACTATATGCAATGAAATACTTTCTTTAAGAAAAAATCCTAAAGAGAATGAACATGGATTAGTCTCAATGGTGAAACTTAAAATTGAAATTGATTTTATTCTTTTAACGCAAAAATCCACTGGTTAAAGACGTAACAGCCCTAAAATCACTTTTCAACTTGTAGCGACCATAGACTAGACATAGCGACATAGAAATAATCAGAAATTAGTCATGGAAAAACTAAAACAAGAAAAACAGACAGTTCGAAGAGAGAATAAAGAATAATATTGCCGCCGAGAAAGATATAGAAACACAAACATATCGATGAAATAAACATGATATTTATAAAATGTTTTGATTATGCCTTTAATTTAATACAAAACGTAAAATGTTTAATGTAAAATCCAATTATTCTGTTATTTATCAAATCCTGTTATTTTATCCTGCTGATATATTTATTTTATTTAATAATTTGTTAACTATTAACTCTATTAAAGGTATTTTATACCAAAATTCAGAATATTGATGTTTTTTCTTTAATTTTCTTTCGTTGCCTGAAGTAATTGATATAAATCAGAATTATGTAGTTGATTTCTAAAATGCGATTATCTCGAAAACTGTTGAGTTTTGAAGATATTAAGAAGTATATCTTTTTTTTGTTAAATAATGTATCTTTAATATTTTTTAATAAAAATACCCATAACTTGAAGAAAAAAAAAGTTAAGTGTAAATGTATGCCACGTATGTGGCATATGTGGCGCCCTCTATTAGCTATATTAAAGCATGCATTAAAATTCATAATTTCTAATATTAAATAGTAACCAGTTGTAATTTTTATACATAAATGTTTACAAACATTAAATTTATAGCGAAACATAAAATTTTTAATTTCCACTTTAACACCCTGTATCTTTCTTTTAGTATTAACATATTTATTAAAGCAAGTTGACTTTAATCGTAATATTTTAAAGTGCTGCGGTTTCTTTTTGTACAATTACTTAAGGACCACCCTGTATAGGGAGAACATGACATTAAAGTTTTGTCACATCCCTCTAGCAGCTCATATCTTAGTCCAATAGAGACACCTTTGCACCAAAAATGAACCAACGCCTCAGCGTTATAGGGTTATACAAGAAATAACCCTCAGCGTTACATTATCACAACTACTTGCTAAATTTCAAGAAATATGGGATAGTTTTATCCCAGAATTCTGTGAAGGCCTAGTTTATACAATGTATCATAGAGTTCAAGCTGTTATTCAAGCGACGTTACGCTTATTAATTATTATTTTACTTTGTTACAATATTTAGTTGTCAGAATTTTTTGATTACCAAAACAATTAATTAAATAGTAATCACCATAAAATACATATTTTCAGAAATCATTCATTCTGAAAAATGTTATTAATTTCATATTAACCATTAAAAAAAAATTAACTAAAAGAATTTTGGTAGGTTGGTACTTTATTCGCAAAATAACTGCTTGTTTTAACATACAGTTGTTTGGGCTCGTATGTCTATTAAGTTCACCATTTAACCTAAAAGTACACTCGTAGGAAAAACAGGTATTGTACCGGGTGGTCCAATAAGCCGATCTCTCGGCTATATATCAGAAACTATTCAAGTTATAACTTTAGGAGAAAAAATTCCTTATAAAAGTGGCCAAGAGAAATCGCTGGAAATAACTTTCAAGATTCTGGATTAACCGCTAGGGGGCGTAACCTGCGAAGAAAATTTTGAAAACCAGTTTTTTGGGAAATATGTCCAATTATACCAAGTGTTAAATAAGTAAACTAGAAAGAGGCATAAATTCTGCACAAAGTTGTTCAAGTACTTTTTTTTATTTTTTCAAATAAGGGTGGGGGAGAGTGGGAAAGTATTTGTGGATAAATACCTATAACTTTGGTTTGGATCAACGATTTTAACAAAATTAGTTCATTAGAAAGAGTATGATGAATTAATTTACATCTACTATAAAATAATTGCATTTAGTTTTAATTGTCGTAGGTAGAGGGTACTTTCGAATAGAAAAAATTAAAATTTGTTTTTCTTCGAAATTTTTAATGGAAACACCTATTTATTGTAAATTATAATGGAACTGGATTAAATTCGTAACAAAATGGCGCAAACCGCATGTTAATAGCTTTTATCGAACTCGAGATATGAATAAAAACGCATAAACATAAGTAAGTATAGTATTGACACACCCTGTATTATAAAATAAATTAAAAAATAAGTCAGTAGGTACTTTCAAAATTTTTTATAGCAGAAAACTCTTAATGTTGATACCTATTTTGACCATTGTTATTTCATATGATTAAAAATTGTTTTTTCGAAACTAAGTAGGCTACGACAATGAATTTGACAGGGAGTTCATATTGTTTATTTATTGACAGCAGTCAAAATATTGTTAAGAAGTGTTATATGTATTATAATTCGAATTGAAAATTGCATTTTTTTCAATAGATATTAATATTGGTAATATTAGTAATTAATTATCAGTACTAATAATTCGTGATGAGTATATCAAATTGTATGATATGATTGGAGTTTATTTCGAATATCACCAAAATGGCGCTATTGCCTCACGTATATATTCTGTAAGATATCCTGGCAGGAGATATTGTGGCAAAGAAGTAGATATTTCGGACTACTTATATGTGGATTCTGTTGAATTAAAGCAAGAACATTGATTGAATTATCTTCGGTCATAACTCTACTACGTCGTTTAAAACAAGGACGAGAAAAACTACCAGTTTCTCTTAATCTTTTTGCCTTTCTTTCAAATACTTCTTTGCCATAATGTCTCCTGTCACGATATCTTACAAAATATATACGTGAGGCAATAGCGGCATTTTGGTGACATTCGAAATAAACTCCAATCATATCATACAATTTGATATACTCATCACGAATTATTTGTACTGATAATTAATTACTAATATTACCAATATTAATATCTATTGAAAAAAGTGCAATCTTTAATTCGAATTATAATATAGCACTTCTTAACAATGTTTTGACTGCTGTCAATAAATAAACAATATGAACTCCCCGTCAAATTCATTGTCGTAGCCTACTTAGTTTCGAAAAAAACTATTTTTTACAAAATAGATATCAACATTAAGATTCTTCTGCTATAAAAAAATTTGAAAATACCTACTGACCTATTTTTTAATGTAATTTATAATACAGGGTGTGTCAATACTATACTTACTTATGTTTATGAGTTTTTATTCATATCTCGAGTTCAACAAAAGCTATTAACATGCGGTTTGCGCCATTTTGTTACGAATTTATTCCAGTTCCATTATAATTTACAATAAATAGGTGTTTCCATTAAAAATTTTGAAGAAAAACAAATTTTAATTTTTTTTATTTGAAAGTCCCCTCTACCTACGACTATGAAAACTAAATGCAAGTATTTTATAGTAGATGTGAATTAATTCATCCACACTCTTTCTAATGACACTAATTTCATTAAAATCGGTTGGACCAAACCAAAGTTATAGGTATTTATCCACAAATACTTTCCCACTCTCCCCCACCCTTTATTTGAAAAAATTAAAAAAAAGTACTTGAACAACTTTGTGCAGAATTTATGCCCCTTTCTAGTTTACTTATTTAACACTTGGTATAATTGGACATATTTCCCAAAAAACTGGTTTTCAAAATTTTCTTCGCAGGTTACGCCCCCTAGCGGTTAATCCAGAATCTTGAAAGTTATTTCCAGCGATTTCTCTTGGCCACTTTTACTAAGGAATTTTTTTCCTAAAGTTATAACATGAATAGTTTCTGATATATAGCCGAGAGATCGGCTTATTGGACCACCCGGTACAATCGATGGTTATTATTTATGATTTCACTAAATTCTTCACAAAATTGAAGCCGACGATCAAGATCATCTCCGTTTAATTGATGAAGTAATCGTATGTTATAAAACTAAAATTTATGGGACTTTATAATTCAATAAACACATAGAAAATACAAAACAAAATACAATACAAAATTCAACATACACAAGATGCACGAGATAGTCGTCTGATAGAATATGGATTATCAATTTGTAAATGAGCCAATACCGCCACTTCAAAAGCTTCATTAAAAAAAATCATATGAAAATGTGATATTTTTACAAAAAGAAAAAAATATCTTTAACACAGTGGCGTGTTAATATCGATTTGCAGGTCGATTGAATTATTGTATTGGAGGTCACTTAGAACATTTAATTGGTTAATTTGGTGAAATTTTATGTTTTTATTGTTATTACTTGTATTCAACCAATTAATAGTTAAATCAAAAATTATCATCAAAATTACTACATAAATTAAAAAAATACAGTGTCATGTAGAGAAAAAAATTACCTATTAAATGATGTGCCACTCAACCACACTTGCTATTTAAAAAACTGGGAGTTAATGCGAAGCATTAGGGGGTTAAATTTAAGGCCATGAATTTTGCATAAATATTCGCTCCCCTCTTAATTCAAGTTGACGTGTTTTCTTAAATTTTAAAGAAACTCTTGATTTCTGAGTTTCTGGGGGGGGGGGGTCAAATTTTCGTTGGAACACACTGTATATGTAACTTACTTTCATCCCTAAAAATTTTTATATAATATTTTGACAAGAAATTGAAATAAATTTAATAGAAATAAAATACCCGAAGGAGATACCAGGTTAAATAAAATAATCAGAAAAAAAAAACAGAAAAAAAATCTGAAAGAAAGAAATTTAAAATTATAAGAAAAATGAAACAACTGAAATAACACAGTTATACAAAATTTAAAACAATATCAAAAAAATAGTTTCTTCTATTATTCCATTATAGCATCCATCTTACCTACGCAATTTCTTGGACCATATGAAAACGGTATATATGTGCATGGATGTCTTTTCGCAATATTCTCAGGTAAAAACCGATCTGGATCAAACTTAAGAGGATCAGGCCAGTAGATCGGATTTCTGTGAACAAATACAGTACCAATAATGACTGAACACCCACTTGGAAAAACCATATCAC